GAAAAAGGCAATTAATGGCAAGGGCAGAGCCCAATGGCAGAAAGATTAATCTGGTGGCCTGTATAGAATGAACAGGTGTGGAGAGATTAGAGGTGGAGATACCCATTAAGAGGACATTTCAACGGTGCAGGTGAGAAATGAGAACTGAACTAGGACAGCCACAAGGGGGATTTAGATAAGAAAACAGATTTGAAATATTGTGAAATTAGAAAGAACCTTGGGACAAGTTGTGCATGGATGATTAGGAAGAGGAAGTGTAGCCCCAAGGCCTCAAGCCTGGGAGCCTGGCAGGGACTTAACGGGTGCTTCCCCTCCCACTGTCCATCTCATGACACCGCGCCACGACTGCCTGAGACCACGAAATGTCCACTTGTGACGTGGGCTACAGCTGAGCCACATCGAGTGGTGGGTGTTGCCAAGATCCATGATTTTCCAGGGGGAAAACGTGAGGAAAACCTTCAGAAGACAGGCTTGGAGCTGTGGCTCTCCCGTAAACTTGACTTACGATTTTTTAGTAACTCTCCTTACTGAGCTTTTGAACCCTCAGCAGTACCAGAGAGAAAGCAACTTCTGTGCTTAATGCACCTGGATTTTGTGAGGTCCACAAAGCACTACGGAAACTGAGTAGCCCTCTGCAACAGGAGTTACTAACATTGCTGTCACTGCTTCCTCAAGTATTTGCATCTCTGCACTTGGCCAGGAATTATCACTGCCCTGAGGCATCTATCCACATCCGTCCTCCCTCTCATCCTAACATCTCTTCTCTTTTGTTTCTCTAACCCTGGAATTGAGAGAGATTTAGCACAAGGAATACCAAAAAGATAGTTCTCTCCAAAATACTATCAATTCTTCGCGATACACCCAATGTATAGGGCATCCCAAAAAATGTATGCACACACTTTGAATAATTATAAAGGCAGTGTTTATTAAAATACATCTCATTTTTAAAATTGAACTATCGGCTATTATATACTCTTTTGGGGAGGCGCACCCTGTATTATGACCTTCTCTTTTCCATAATGAAAAAATAAAAGCTAAACATTTTAGTATTCCTTGAGTGTGTGAAATGCTACTGTATCAGCATTTGCAAATATTTTCTTAATCTTACCAGATTACAGGCTTTAGAGACCCTTCAACAATGATCACGTGAAGGGATCATCACCTTGACTCTCTTCTCTGACCTATTAAATATCCCCAGTTTAAAAAACTAAATGAAGAGCAGTGACCTACTCTAAGTCTGAAAAAGCTAACAACAACTTTGTCAAGTTTACTGAAAGGCAGTTTGCTGTTCTCCAAAAGCCTCACCTTCCTAAAGGATTTTCCAAGGAAATTTTGGTAATAGATGATTTTCGAAGTTAACCTAACTCCCACATGAGGTGGGCCTCTCTACTTTTCCTGGGATACACAGCATCAGTGCTTTTTACACAGTATGGGGCACATCACTGTCTCTTTACCTGACCTGAGGCTGACACAGATTAGGTTCATGACAAGGGAGTGGGTGCTAGGGATGCCCGGCCACTCCGGACCAGAGTGATGACTGGCCCCCAAGGTCCTGGCTCTGGGACTTTCAGCTAACTCACCTTATCTGAATCTTGGAGAAAACACACACCCCACTTCCCAGGGATGTGAAGACAATGCATGGGACAGGCGTTCTGTGGACTACACAACATGCAGATATTAGCTTTTATAAAAAAAGAGAGAAGATTCTGCTATTTCTTTAAGAGGATTTTAAGTGAGAGGGGAACATTTCTCTCTCATAAAGACTTGCTTATAATAATATTTTTCAAGGAACTCAGCTCAGATGGTACAGGAAACACATTATGGTCTACTGTGGTATGCAAATTCTCTGCTCAGCACATTATAGGAACACAAATATAATCATGGTCCTCCAAGCCCTGCAGCTTCTGTTCTCCTTCCTTTCTTCATTCACTTCTTCACTCCCCTCTTTTTTCTTTTCTTTCTTTTCTCTTTTCTTTCTTGCCCTTTTCCTTCCCTTCCTCTCCCTCTTTTTTTTTTAATTGCACCATGATGTAGGAAATAAAAGCAACTCACCTCAAGTACAGGGGAGATTTATTTACTTCATTAAAAAAATTTCCTTAAGAGTTAAAGGCCAAATTCTTCAGAATGTCTCAAGGTAACAAAACATCATTGTTTTAAGGCATGAAGGTAAGTTTTCCATCAGTGACTAAAAATTGGAAATAAAGGAAAGCCAGTGAAAACTGAACAGTCCTCACTTGGCAATTATTCCGCTTTTGGAAATTTCCAAGCCCTCTGCAATCATTAATTAGAGAAGATGATGTTCCACTTTACTGAGGCTAGACGCGTGACATAAAGAGGTCTAGAGGCTTTCCTCAAGCTGAAAGAGGAATGTCACTGGAGGAGCTGGGATTAGACTTAGGAGCTCATTTTTCATGCCAGTAGTCACACCACTAAGCTAAGCAGAGTCAATACTGGGACAATAAGGTCCTCTGTGCACAGGTGCAGTGAATACAGCAGTGTTCTGCTCACAGACTGGCTGTGAAAGAGCCCATCCCCTCAGTCACCAGAGCCCCCACAACACACAACATATCTGCAGCCTCATCAGCCTCTTTCCCCTCTCCCAAAACATAGACAGATGGCTAAATACCAACCCCTTACCACTCTCCTTAATAATCACAGAGAAAAGTACATGATTTGATTTTCATTTTTAAAATGCACAATGTGATGTTCAAACACATGACACTGTTGAAAAACAAATATTTCAAAAAAAAATTTTTAAATGACATGAAATTCACTGATATCCAGAATCTATAATAATGCAATAGATCATCCTGAATAAATTACAAAAAGAAGGAAAATCAAGTTTCGTGCTCTCTGGTGAGCGGTTAATAAAAGTTCACTCCTTCACCCCGAGTAGGCTGTCAAAGCCCACGTCCTAGTGATGCAGCTGGACCCAGCATCTTAGATCCAAGTGTTGTCTTTTCCTACACCACTGGATCAGTTCTAATGTTGAATGAAGAAGGACTGTCCCAAGTGCCCAGTGACATGATGGGAAAACAGGAAACTCAAAGATTCACTCAGTACTTCTGACAAGATTATTCCCTCCACCTAGACACACTTCTGCTCTGTCTCATGTCTGTTTCTCCAGGTGGAGTGACAGGATCCTAAAACAACTCGGGGCCCATCTCTTTCCATTATCCTAAAACAACTCGGGGCCCATCTCTTTCCATTAAGACCATCACTCAGCCATCTTAACAGTCAGGCTGCTTCGGATGGAGCAAAACTACATACTTAATTGAGCTTAAATGTTAATGCCAATTATCCCAACCTAAACTTGTAATCTACCATAGGGGAATTTACTGCAGTTGCGCCAAAGGGAGGTAAAGTTGAATAATCTAACTTTTTTGAACTGCTTGCTTTGAGGGACAGAAAGGATTAATGCAAATATACTGTAATGTTAACAATGGAAGGCTATCCAGATTGGTTATTTTGGACAAGCTTTATTTAAAAACAAACAAACAAACAAATGTACTGACATTTATTTTCATAAAGCGATTTTAGAAAGAAAGGCTTTCCAAGAGCAATGTTTCCAAAACACTTAACATTTAAACTTGGAAACTTTATGTTGGAGTATGATCATGGCTGGCCCACTTTCATGTAAAAGGTATTCATAAGTGTCCCCACTTTCTGGGAAGGGTTTTTTTCCTCTAAGGAGCCTAAAATTCATTTTGGAGCACCATTAATAGAGCAGATACTTTCATGTGAAAATAGTGGTTTAGTAAACACACTACTAGGAGAGCAAGGACCTGACAGATTTTTGTTATAATGTTGAAAACGTGAATAAATATTTCTGTAAACAGACAATATCAAATGTGTTAAGGATTAATATATATATATATATATATATATATATGGTCCTTCTACCGAATTTGCCCCCAAATTACCATTCAGCTTCTAACTATTTCTGATTTCTCACAGCTGTAACTGAAAGGAAGGAGGGCTCTGTTCCAACCCAATGGCTGGAAACTAGCTTGGTTTATCCGTCTCACCCCTTCCAAGTAATTTGCCATGGCTCCTCTTGTCAGGGTAAAAGAAAACATCATCATGCTGGTTCCAGTACTCATGGAAAATCAAAGTTATAGGCCAGTAGGTATGTGTAATATCAAGTGTTACCTATCCAAAGGAAATAACTGAACATGTTGACTTAAAAGACGTATATGCTTGCAAGTAAATTAAACAATGAAAAAGATAACTGTCATAAAGAATTTTTTAAATTGCCTAATAGGGTTAAAGTCTAGCCAGTAAGATTCCTCTTGGAGGATCAGGAATGTGGATAGACAAGGGGAGATAAACAATCGCCATTGCACTGCAACAGCCTCTTCCCAAAGGAAACTAGACAAGGTGTCCGCATTACCTTAGATCCCCTCGGCCTCACTTGTCTCCTGGGCTGTTGGCCACTTGTTATGTCCTAGCAGCCACTGTGGTACCAACTTTGCTTGAATTCTGACCACCATCACAAAAGCCCAACCTGACAGCAGCTCACCATGTTTTCCCTGCATACTTCTCACCTCCAGATCTGTTGATGTCCTGACCCTGTAAGGCATGGGATGCTACAGGTTTGTTTGGTGTCCAGGTAAACGCAGTGTCTAAGTGTGAGGAAGTTTCTGACTCACAGAGAAGCTTGGACCAAGAAGAGACAAGAGCTGGAAGCATAATGATTTTCCCTTTTCCCCAACACAAAAAGATTATCCTGAGCAGCTACAGTTCATATGATCTTTTGGAAGATGATCTTTCAAATTTGAACAAGCAGATGCAACTCATACTAAACAATAGCCACACTGGTAAGTTATCCCCAGTAGGATCTCCTTCTTTTCCCACTTCACTCATGCTTCCCTGGGATTATACTTTCTAATGAAATTAAAACAGCAGGTACATTTTTGCTTTAGATTCTGGCTTCTGGGGAAGGCACGGTAAGATAAGGCAGCCCTTCATTCCCATCATGATGTCAATGAGTTTCTTACCTTTGGTTGCAGGGGTGGTGCAGAGGGGGCTGGAACAGGATCCGTGATATAAGTCTTCTTGGGACCAGCAACTGGGTACATCCCAGCAGGTTGCTGGTTTCCTGTCCCAGAGGGAGTGTACCCTTGTTCTCGCTTCCAGGTATTGGGGTGACCTTGTTGACCATAGGCAGGATCAGAATCATTTTTCGCCCCATACACAGGCCCTGCTGGGCAATAGGCTTCATAATAGCGTCCTTGGTTAGGGCCATACCCATACCCAGGCTCAGGCTGAAGGCCTGGTGGTGGAATATATGCATAATCCATGCCTCCCCGTGTTGGAGGAGGTAGACCCTGCCCAGAAATAGGAACTGGTTGAGTGTTATAACCCTGGTGCCCTGGTCCTGGGCCATAAAATTGTCCTGGGGAAGGGGCAGCCATGTAATGAGAGCTGGGCTGGGCTGACTTCACTTGCACATTGAAGGTAGGCCTTGAAGGAGTGGAGGCCGTAGTGTAGGAGGCTGGCACTGGCTGCGGCTGGGGCTTTAGTGTTCCAATTGGAGCCACAGGGATGGGTCCAGCCTGAGGTGCCGGCTGTGGTTTCAGTGTAGACTTTTTGGTTGCTGTTAGAGGGGGTTGGTTTGGTATGACCATTCTCTTGTGCCCTGTGACAGGGGTGGAGACTGGAGGAGAGGCTGTTGCACCAGCAGAGCCCTAGAAAGAGAGAGAAGAAAAAACAACACAGATTACTGCCCGTGGACAATAAAGAAATATTAAAAACTGTGAATTATTATTTTTGTATTAACTCCACAAAATACAAATACAGCATGGTTCCTGCCTTCTAAGAGTTCAGAGATTAACAGAAAAATCAGCTGCGTTTTTGTGTATGACCAATGAACAATCTGAAAAGGAAGCCAAGGGAACAATTCCATTTACAATACCATCAAGATAAAAATACTTAGGAATAAATGTAACCAAAGAAGTGAAAGACGTGTATACTGAAAAGTACAAAATGTTGCTGAAATAAATTAAAGAAGACACAAATAAATAGAAAGACAACCGTGTTTGTGGATTGGGAGACTTTAATATAGTTGAGAAGTTAATACTTCCCAGAGTGGCCTACAGATTTAATGCTATCCTTTGAAAATCCCAAGGGTACCATTTTTTGCAAACACAGAAAAATCCATCCTAAAACTCACATGCAATCTCAAGAAACTTTGTATAGCCAAAGCAATCTAGACACACAAAAAAAGGAAAATTGGAGATTTCAAACTGCCCAATCTAAAAACGTATTATACAACTATAATAATCAAAACAGTGTGGAAGTGTCATAAAGACAGATATATAAACCAATGCAATAGGATAGGGAATCAAGGAATAAACCATCGAATGCATGTCAAGTTGATTTGTTATAATGGTGTCAAGGCCATTCAATAGGGGGAAAGCAGTCATTTCAACAAATGGTGTGGGGACAACTGGATACCCACATGCAAAAGAATGAAGTCGGACCCTTACATTACACCCTATACAAAAACTAACACAAAATTTTAGTCCTAAATATAACAGTGCAAACTATAATATTCTTAAAAGAAAACATAGGAGGGAAGCTTCATGACATTAGATTTGGCAATTTTTTTATTTTTTTTTTTTTATGTATAACACCAAAAGCACTAAAAACAAAAGAAAATAAGTGGAGCTCTATGATCTCAAAGTATCCAAAGACTTAGTCACCATAGTGCTAAAAGGATGTGCTGGAAAAAGAAAACTCGAGGACTGGGTAGAGGGAACAACAACAAAAAGCAAAGAGGGGTGTTGAGAAAAAAACACTCCAGCACAACCAGAGATGTTAAATTTTAGATCAGAGATTCCTGTGAAAGAGTAATTTACCAAAGATAGCTCAGATGCAGCCTCCTCCTCTTGTATCTTCTTGATATCTGCTGCATTCATTCTTTCAACTCAGAAATACTTACTACACAATGGAATATTACTCAGCCATAAAAAAAGAATGAAATCTTGCCATTTTCAACAACGTGGATGAACCTAGTGGGTACTATGCAAGTGGAATAAGTCAGACAGGGAGAGACAAATATCGTGTGATTCCACTTACAGGTAGAATCTAAAGAACAACAACAAAAAACACGAATAAACAAAACAGAAACAGACTCATAGACGTGGAGAACAGACTGAGAGAAGGCAGATGGGAGGAGGCTGGGGGGCTGGGTGAAAAAGGTGGAGGGGTTGAGAAGTACAAATTGGCAGTTACAGAATCGCCATGGGGATGTAAAGCACAGCATAGGGACTATAGTCAATAACATTGTAGTAACTACGTATGGTGCCAGACTCATAGGGGGAGGGGGAATCACTATGTTAAGTTATGTAAATGTTTAACCACTGTGCTGTACGCCTGAAACTAATATAACGTAATATTGAATGTCAAGTATAATTGAAAAAAGTAAAATCAATCATCTTTAAAAAAAGAAATACCTGCTGAATGATCTAGGAAGGTGTAATGACACAAAGGTGAAAATACCTTCTTTCTGAACTATGGGAGGCTGTAATTATATGGGAGATAAGTAAAGGCTTAGGGAAAGCTTAGAAACCCAAACATTTGTCCTCAGACATTAGTCTATTAGGAATCGGCAAATATTTGAGTGATATGTTTTAATTTTGCTCTGAGATACTATGATTAGATTTGTTGATATAAGAAGTGACCGCACCATAATTTTGTTGTTTATTAATTTCCAGGCAAATTATAGTATGTATAGGAAGAGAGGATCCAAGACTTATATTACTCTATTGTCATTTACTCACAACACGCCACAGGAGATAACAGACATGTGGAATGGATGCTGCTAACTGCTACTTCATCATACAGACTCCCCTTCTTCATTACCCAAAGAATTTCAATTTTGTTCAGGGCAGCAATGTGCCCACTTAAAATATTGCCAAGACTGCTTTGTAGGTAGAAGCTGTCACATGACATGGTTCTGGCCAATGACATGTGCACTAAACATTTTTGGGAAAACTAGGGTTCTCCCTTCCTACTCTTCTCATTTCTTCTTTCTTGCCTGGAACATGGATGTAGGGCTATAAATGGTGAACTATATTGTTCCCATCATCATATAAAAGTATACTGATTCAGATATTTAGTTTTTGAGGAAACACTCTCTGGAGATCTAGGTTGGTCCAGAGGTAAAGATTAAAATATTCCCAGTGCCATGTGGTTAAAATATTACTTCCAGTGTTTGTCAGCTACAGAGGAAACCACCCACTGCCAAAGAAACTTTAGAAATGAGAGGGGATATTTTTTATTGTCACAGTGACTAGGGTATGCTATTATCATTGAACGGATGGAGGGCAAACACATCATTGTCAAAACCAAGATAACAATAGTGCCCCTGTTGACATGTATAGACTCTTGGGACACATATCTCCTGGCAAGCTGACTGTGAGGTCTCCAGTTGCCACAGAGGGTCACTGGTCCTCTCTAGGACTTCTTTACAGCACTCTCTCCTTCCTGGCTCAAATAACTGCTCCCACCTCTGGTGCCCTTGAGCCTAGAGGAAATGACAACTCCTACTCTGCTAGCCCCGGATCACTGCTCTGTTCCCATGACTTCTCTGTACTTGTATGTAGAGAGGGCCTTTATAAATTAATGCCCCGAGAAGAGCTAGTGTCAGTGTGTTGTTATTTTTTATTGGATCCTGACTGTTACAGCTATGTTTCCAACCTATTTGTCACAATTGCTGTTTCCTAGGCATTTTGCAATTCTAGATTTCGTTCTGTTAAGTTATAGAAGGCTGTTGAATAGAGTTATCTTTTTCCCCCATTTTTAGTATTAGTCTTTCAGAGGGAAGACTTGCAATTTACTTCTGTCATTTAAGCAACCTGAGTGAACTTTATCTTCTGCATGAAGGTAGTCCCAAGAGTGCCCAATAGAAAGAGATGCAGTTTTCTCATTAAGAAACTTATTAAAATATATATCCTAAAGAAACTCTAAAATATTTAAATACTCAGTTTGGAGGGTCAGATTTTTCTAATCAACCATGTCAGTCTTAAAAAATGTCAGCATAGATGGAACTGAATGAAAGAAGAAATAAAGCTTTTCTTTGATGACTCAAGATCAGCAGAAACTCAGAGTTCCTATTTGGAACACTTTAAAAACCCAACTATAAATGGAGACAGTGACTGAGCAACTGGGCTAATGACAGGCATACTCTGTGCTGCAGCTGTAAAGAAGTCTGCCCCCAAAACAGATGCCTCAGAAGTCACATATTTTGAAAATGAAAATCAATCACCTTCATAAAGTGAGCAAACAAACAAAAATAATTTATGTATATTTCACACTTTAGAAGCAACTTTTCCACAAATCTCTTTTTCTTTCCCGGTGAACACATACACACACTTACACTGGAACCTGCATGCAGACACACGTGCAGGCACACACACATGTGCGCGCACACACACACACACACTCTATTCAAATACTCCTCAGGTGTTTGAAGGAAGGCATCAGGACAAGGTTTCAGGAGCTGATGCTTTCTTCTAGGAAATATCTCACTAGGAGAATTCTCTTCTGGAGATAATGTTCCTCACAACTTTATTATGAATTCCACTGTGTATGTGCTGGCATGTTTATGAGTATTTTGTATATCATAACTATATGTGTGAAAATAGCACACTTAGCTATATATTTTCCTTTTCAACATTCTTTACCTCATTGGAGGTGGAAGGGGTAAAGAAGAGGAATCTTTTTAGAGCATATTTATTTATGTTCTTCATGGTTAAAGAAAGCTATGGCAACACTTTCCTGGCCCGCATATTCAATTAAATGCACAGTGAATTTTTCTACTTGCTGGATTAGTTGGAGCTTCCAAGGATGTATTTTTGGCATTTCACTTCTTTTGTGTTTTTGCAGGAATCCTTAAAGTCTTTATCATGATTTAACATTTTCATTTCGAAAATCAAGTACATTTAAAAATTAAACTCACAAGGATATGTGTCTGTGTGCATGTGTATTTTTTCTGAGGCTTGAATCTATATAGCAGTATTTTTATGTGGTTATTTTTCCGGTAATTAATTAAACATTTCAACATGTAAAGCTCTGTGAAGTTACTGGGAGGAGGATAGTGTCATACAATCAACAGTGCATGTCTCCCTGCCCCTCAGAAGTTTATGCCATGGTAGAGGGGCTAATACATAATCAGTAACTGTTGAATCTGTCTTCATTACCAGGCAGAATTGGTGTAGTCATGAGACAAAAACAGACAAGGGGTTATATGGGCACCTCTTGTGCTGACTTCTTAGAGCAGGTCCTCAACTTCCTTTTAGCCCAAGTCAGCACAACATCTTACATTCATCAATCTCTCTTACCCCTGCCCCCCTATCCCCTGAACACATCTGCATGCACAAACACACACACACACACACACACACACACACACACACACACACACACCCCTAATCTAACCCATACATAACCCCTGGTTATTTTTCACATCCCTGTACTTTATTCCATTTTTGCTTCTCTCCCCTAAATTTGGCCCTCAGCACCACTTCCCTAAGCTGTTTATTACCATGGTCCAACCTCACTTCTCTCTCACCTCTCCTCCTTAATACCACTACAGTGATCTCTCTAACATGAACATCTGATTGCGGCTCACGGACGATCCACATTTGGCAATGACTCTGCCTTGTGCTGACTCTGCTTTTTT